CCTGCTGTGCCCCCACTTGCTGTGCCCCAGCTCGTTGTGTGACTCTCATCTGCACCCCTGTGAGCTGTGGGTGCAGTCCCTGCCAGTCAGGCTGCACCAGCTCCTGTGAGCCCTCCTGCTGCCAGCAGTCCTGCTGCCAGTCCTCATGCTGCACTTCCTCCCCCTGCCAGCAGGGCTGCTGCGTGTCCGTCTGCTGCAAGCCCATCTGCTGCAAGCCTGTCTGCTGTGAACCTGCCTGCTGTAAGCCTGTGTGCTGTGAACCTGTCTGCTGCAAGCCCATCTGTTGTGAACCTGTTTGCTGCAAGCCCATCTGCTGTGAACCTGTCTGCTGTAAGCCTGTGTGCTGTGAACCTGTCTGCTGTAAGACTGTGTGCTGTGAACCTGTCTGCTGTAAGCCCGTGTGCTGTGAACCTGTCTGCTGCAAGCCCATCTGCTGTGAACCTGTGTGCTGCAAGCCCATCTGCTGTGAACCTGTGTGCTGCAAGCCCATCTGCTGTGAACCTATGTGCTGCAAGCCCATCTGCTGTGAACCTGTCTGCTGCAAGCCCATCTGCTGTAAACCCATCTGCTGTGGGTCCAGCCCATGCACAGCCTCCTCCTGCTGCCAGCCCTCTGTCTGCTCCTCCTCTTGCTGCAAGCCCTCCTCCAGTGTGTCCCTCATCTGCCGCCCTGTGTGCAAGCCCGCCTGCTGTGTGCCCACCTCCTCTTGCTGTGCCCCGACCTCTTCCTGCATGTCCCTCATCTGCCGCCCTGTGTGCAAGCCAGCCTGCTGTGTTGCCTCACGTGTCCAGAAGTCCTGTTACTGATCAGACACTGCCCGCAGAAGCAGCTGGGTTCCAGGAGCCAGTGTGACTTATCTCACACCCACTCTCCATCCACACTTGACACTGTTATGTGACTGTCCCACTTGAAGATGAGATTCCTCCATATTTCCCTTGTATTTCCCTTTGTCCCCTGACTTCTCAGGATCCTCTAGTTGACCTCAATCTCTAACCCGCCAACTCCTGTTTGGATATATCAATAAATTTATCTTAATCCCTTAATCTGCTTTCCTGTTGTCAGACTGTTGGGGTAGGGACATAAGGTTTTGATTAGTCACTAGTCCATTGGACGGGCATTCTGTGAAGGTGTGACTTATCTCAGAAGTTACACGATGGGACCTGATCCTTGGGACTCAGGTCATTGTCAGGGTTTGTTTGCTTCCTGCCCAAGACTCCCCAAAGCTGGGAGTTCACAGATTCATGGTGGTTCTGAGGTTCTCCAGGCCTTCATTTCCTCCCAGGAAATCCCATCTCATCAAAAGTGCCCTGAAGAAGCTGGCCTTCAGCTCTCTGCCCCACATCTCCTCTGTGTCATCCAGAAGCCTATCCACTTATCAGAAACATGATCCTGGTGAAAGAGGAAACTGACTTCAAGAATATAGAAGTTAAACTGCCTTTATTTAGAAAGAAACACCTAAGTGCCCATCAACAAATGAATGGCTAGAGAAGCTGTGGTATATTCGCACAATGGAATACTATGCTGCATTAAAAAATAAGGAACTCATGCAATATTATTCAAAATGGTTGACTCTGGAGAACATTATGCTGAGTGAAATATCCCGGTCACAAAAGGACAAATATTACATGATGCCACTGTTGTAGAATGGGACTGTCCTTGGGGTTGGGGAGAGACTGAGTAAGATGGGTTCAATAATGTATACTGCACTGAAACAGAGGAGGGAGAAAACTGTTTAAAAGAGATATATGACTAGGTACTTCTGTCATCACAGGAGTCTAGAGCGAGGGCTACATGGTGGAGGGGACCTGGGGGAGGGTTTGTAAAACAATGAAAGAATCTTTTCTTTTACTTTTCCATAATTTTTGACTCATGTACTTATAACTTGTTAGTCAAATTTGTGTCTTCTAAGTTGCAACACCCCCATGATACATCTTCAAGGATATGAACATGTATGGCCAAGCACAATCAATAAGAGTGCATCTAAATTCCAAAATCAATCTCCATAATAGTCTGTGTTTCCTACTGCCAAAGGGGCCCTTTAGAGTAGTGAGAGAAGATCTTCACCCTGAAACCCACAGCGTCCCTTTTCAGCAGGAAGTAGCTAAGAGAATACGCCATCCCCTTTTCCTTATGAATCAGGGTGAAGTCTCTCTCAGGGAGGAGTGATAGGGAATGGCAAAGGACACACCGACAAAGGAGATTAATCAGAACTGACTTTGACAAGCACTGTGGCAACTGGACAATTAAAACAGACATTCAGATGGCGGGGAAGAAGAACAAACTGGGGAGGAGGGTGGAGAGAATGGTGCGGCAATGAAGGAGTGAAAGCCCAGAATCCCTGTGAATGTTCATTGAAACTAATAAAATTTAATAATAATTAAAAAAAAAAGAAACACCTGCCAGAAGAAGAAGGGAAGAACTAGAGAGCCCATGTCCAGGTAACTGTCTCTCTAGAAGGATTTAGATCAGTCTGGGGAGTGTAAGTGACACTATAATTGTTTCAAGATTGCAGTCCTGCCCCTGTGACATATGAACCTGTGTTTGTCCTTGCCCTGATGAGGGACTATGCATGACAGTGTCTATTCCCACATTACGTATTAGGGCCTGTAGTCAGCAGTGAACAACTGTCTCCAACATATAACGTATCAGACAATGTCCAACACTTTCCCCTAGTCCTTCACAGGCTCTGAGCGAGGCACTGCTTTCTCTGCCTGTGCACTCACTCATCCCAAGAGCCTGTGTCTGCAACTTGGACCCACAAAGGGTCCAAGAGACCCTACCACCTCCATGGGATTTAGCCTTCTGTCCTAAGCTCCAGCCACCTGACTGAATTTCTCAACATGTTACTATGTCCTTGACATCTTGGTTCCTAGACCCCCTTCATCTCCTAGCCAGGCCTTCATAACACTATTCATTTTTAAAATCAGTCTTGTCAATACTTACTATCTAGAGCTGTGCTGCCAGCCCAAAGGCATGTTGTTCAAATTCACAAGCTGCTTTGTGGGAGAAAGATGGGCAACCGCCTTCAGTGTGATTTACAGCTTTTGAAAATCCACTGGAAGGTCAGCTATGGGTTGGTTCTGACTCAATGGTACATAATAACAACATGTGTGTGGGGAATTCTGATGATCTCATGGTAGGGAGTTCACTGCCAACCCAAAAGGTGGCAACTCTCTGCAGTTTAGAATCCACTAGCAGCTCCACAAGAGAAAGTTCTGTAATCTACCATGTCATTTACAGCCTCTGAAAAATCTACCAGAAGGTCAAGTAGGAGTCAGTTCCAGCCCATGGCAATGAGCAGAGTCTAGTCTGTATGTAGAGAGTGGTTATTTCGGGAGCTGTGGTGGCATAGTCCAGAGGGAGCTGTGCTACTAACCCGACAGGGAGTGCCTCTCTCTACCTCTTACCACCAGCAGCTCTGGCTCCAAAGGAAAAAGAAGGGCAATCATCTCCATGGGAATTACAGCCTCAGGAACCCAACAGAGGGGTAGCTGGGAGTCGGTTTCAAACCCACAGCAATGAGAGTTTGTGTAGTTATTTGTATTTGCTTGATGGTTGACAGGATTGTCTCATATGCTTGTTCACCATTTATGTATCTGTTTTATAAAGTATCTGTTCAGATTATCTTTACTCTTTTTTTTAAAAATCAGGTTGTTTGTGCTATACTAAGTTGTAAATATTCTTTACCTCTAATGAATATTGATCATTTGCTATCTTTTGCTGCTATCCTCCTCCACTGGACTGGGCTTTTTCATTTTCTTGGCAGTGTAATTTGAAGAGTGGACAATCTGACCTTGATCAAGTTCAATTGATCATTTTTTTCTTTGGTCTTAACTAAGAAATCTTTTCTATTTTTTTTTTTAAAGATCTTTTCTAGGCCCAAGATCACACAGATTTTCTCCTATGCTTACATAAAGAATTTTATTTCAACATTGCATTCATCTCTGTTATCTATCTCAAGTTCTTTTTTCTGGTAGCAAATGATTTTTTAATGGGGTGAACTTTTTTTTGCCAGCAAATTCAGAAATTTATTTGCATAAAAATGGAACAGGATCCATTCTTCATACCACACACAAAAAGTAACTCAGAGTAAATTAAAGACCTAAATAAGTTAAATCTGTAAAAATCCTGGAAGCTGTTGCATTAAAAAAAATTCATTAATTAAAAAAAGGGGGAAAAAAAGGATGGCACAGGATAAAAAAAAAATCAAGCCCATAAAACCAAGGTGCTTAGGCAATTAAAAAAAAATTCTGGGAGCTATCAAATTGAATTAAAAATATACAAATAAAAGAACATAAACTAGGTAACTGGGACCTCCCATAAATATTTATGCTCATAAGATTTTTATCAAATGAGTAAAAAGAGAGACTACTGACTAGGAGAAAGGGTTTTTTTCGGATGACACATCTGATAAGATTCTGACCTCCAAAGTATATATTAAAAGATTCTCAAAAATTATTAGCCATTGTTGTTGTTACTGGTAGGTGCCCCCATCTAGCACCATGCTCGTGATTTTCATTATGTCCAAGTTCACTGTTAGAGTTACTGTGTCAATTCATCTCATGGAGTGTCTTCCTCTTTTTCACTAACCTTTCTCAGAAGAATGTCTTTTTCCAAAGACTAGCCCCTCCTGACAACATTCCCAAAGTTCATTAAGACGAAGTTTTGCTATCCTTGCTTCTAAGGAACACGGGCATTAACTGCTGTTGTTAGATGTCCTTGAGTTGGAAATGACTCAGCTGTTTTCAATAGTTGTACATCCGACTGAAGGAGATTCCCCATCTATAACCCAGAGAACAGCTTATGGATTCAAACCACATGCCTTGGGGTTGGCGGTGTAAACCCTTACCATCAGGCCACCAGAGCAAGTAGAGAGATGCAAATCCAAACTACAATGAGATATCATCTTACTGCTAGCACTGGTGAAAAACAGAATTAAGACAGAAAACAACTACTGGTGTTGAGATTGTAAGGGAATTGAAACTGCTGATGGGATTGTAAAAATATAGCACAACCATATGAAAAATAACATGGCATTTGCTTAAAATTATGGACACAACCAAAGTGCCCGTCAATGGATGAATGGATAAACGGTGGTACACACACACAATGGAATACTACACACTGTTAAAGAACTGTGAAGCATGAAATATCTCACAACATGGATGAACCAGGGGGCACATTATGCTAATTGGGTGATGTTTTAATTTGTTGACAATTGCACGGGAGAATCTGAGAGGCTGCCAGCATTGGATGCAAGCCTGGGCCACAAGTCTGCACACTCCTTTGCAACTGGTCCGGTGATGGCAGAACCTTTCATCTTGCCTTTATTATTTACTCTTCAATTATCTTCACAATAGAGAAACACCCCATCTTTTCTCCAGTCTGACTTCCGCTGTCATATTACCACTGCTGAGCTCTGGTTTCCCTTTCTTGACTGTGGCCAAGTTGTCACCCACACAGAGATGATACATAGATTTTTGGCTCCTGTGTTGCTAGCATAGTTGATCACTGCTCCTAACTACAGAGGCAGGGAAATCTGGAATTTTGCACCAGAGGACCCACTATGTCCTCACTTCAACATCTTAGATGCCAGGAAGCTATTTAAAAGGACTTTCATTTATTTATTTAACAAAATGTTTCTTTTCCATCAACCTTTTTTCCACTTTTTAAAAAAAATCAGTTTAAGACCACTTGGTGGTTGTGTCGACCCACTCAGTGGCCTCAGTGGTGGGGGCTGCAGACCAGTCTTCAGTTGCAGGCTGAGTGCTCCAGTCTTCAGCAGGGAACTACTGAGTTGGCACAG